TTTTATTCAGAACAAGGAGCCCGATACATCCCGAGGTGACTTAACTCCAGGCCGATCCTCGGGGGGTCTGTTCTAGGAGCCGTGGCTCTTGCAGCAGGGTGGTGGTTTTTAGGCTGTTTCCATGCTGGCTGGGGCACCCCCGGATTCCTGCTGTGGGGCAGAGCACAGGGCGGGGCTTATGGGGGGAGATGTGGAAGGGTCGGCCTGCCCCCCTAGCCGGGACGGTGGGGCACGGTGGGGTGAGAACGCTCAGACACTGGCACCAGACCTTGGATCCCACCCCGAGTGCAATCGCCCCACCCCAGGCCTGGCCCCGAGCCTGGCCCCACTGCGCTGCTGGCATTTCAGCTAGCAGCCTGGAAGGAAGGGCCATGGGTCCCAGCCCCAGCGGCCGCTCAGCCCCCTGGCTGTCATCTTGATTGGGATAGCCAAAGGGGTTCGAGCGATTGCTGAGCCTCCCAGGGGACTCGGGCACCAGCAGGAGCCCAGAGCCAGGAAAGCAGCCAGCCAGCCAGGCCTTGCACACCTCCAGCCAGCCAGGCCTTGCACACCTCCAGCCAGCCAGGCCTCGCACACCTCCAGCCAGGCCTTGCACACCTCCAGCCAACCAGCCAGTCCTCACACATCTCCAGCCAGCCAGTCCTCACACACCTCCAGCCAGCCAGTCCTCGCACACCCCCAGCCAGGCCTCGCACACCTCCAGTCAGCCAGCCAGTCCTCACACATCTCCAGACAGCCAGGCCTTGCACAGCTCCAGTCAGGCCTCGCACACCTCCAGCCAGCCAGCCAGCCAGTCCTTGCACACCTCCAGTCACGCCTTGAACACCTCCAGCCAGTCCTCGCACACCTCCAGACAGCCAGGCCTCGCACACCTCCAGCCAGCCAGCCAGCCAGTCAGTCCTCAAACACCTCCAGTCAGGCCTCACACACCTCCAGCCAGCCACCCAGTCCTCGCACATCTTCAACCAGGCCTTGCACACCTCCAGCCAGCCAGTCAGTCCTCACACACCTCCAGCCAGCCAGGCCTCACACACGTCCAGGTAGCCCTCCCTCCCCCGCACACCCCTCCATCCATCCATCCTTCCCGTACACCCCTCTCTCTGCGTATCGGGGGGTATTCTGTCCATGTGGTAATGTCCTGGTCACGGGGGTCCAGCATCGCAGACTCTGGTGGACAAGCTAGCCAAGCCCTGCCCTTTTGCACAGCACTGCGCCCTACCAGAGATTTCCCTTTGGCGCTACCATCCTCACCTGCTGGGCTTCCAGCTCGGCCGTCAGCCTGAACGAAACCAGAAATAACAGTTATAGTCAAACAACGGGAGCGCCTGCCCAGGCCCGTCACCAGGGCATCCGAGCCCTTCACAGGGAGGAAGGGATATGGCACAAGGGCTATGGCAGGGTCCTTCCTCCCAGCAGAGAAATGCAGCCACCTCTGGCAGGGCCCACAGCCGCGGCCCAGCAGAGCAGAGCAATCAGGACAGTGAGGAATCCCATAAGCCACTGGAAACACGGGGAGGGTGGAGAGGGGTGGAGTGCGCTTGACCCAGTTGGGACTGGGCCAGGCAAAGAAGGCCCAAAAAGTGCCAGGGGAGTTTCCTGGACAAACCAGTCGGGGCCTTGGACTGACTGTGATCCACAGCAAAGCAGCAGCTGCAGCGCCAAGCTCACAGAACCTGGGAGGGAACCCAGGAGTCCTGGCTCCCAGCCTCACCCAGCTCTAACCACTAGACCCCACTCCCCTCCCAGAGCCAGGATTGAACCCAGGAGTCCTGGCTCCCAGCCCACCCTGCACTCACCTCTTGAACTTCTGCTGCAGTTCTGAGTGGCGGCGCGAAGCTGCCTCCAGATATTCGGTCGCTCTCTTGTTTTCCTGTTGGAACAGCTGCCTGGGGACAACAGAGGGCAGTGAACAGCCCAGACGCCTCGGTGATGGACAGCAACCCTCCCCAGCCAAGGCAGGCTGTGCTGGGAATGACTCTCTCTGCATCCCCTTGCCAAATGCTTCTCCCTGGCGGACCTCTGCCAGCGCTGTCCCAAGGCACTCTCTGCACTAGCCTAGATGGATGGTTTCATGGCAGCACCTAAGCTGCCCTCACTCCTCAAGGCAGGGATAGGACCCAGAAGTCCTTGCTCCCATCTGCCCCCCACTCTAACCACTAGACACCACTCCCCTTCCTGAGCCGGGGATAGGACCCAGGAGTCCTGTTCGCAGTGTATCGATGCAGTACTGCTCCCCCGCTGGCAGGCACAGGGCTGGTGGCACTCAGCACTCACAGGGCACTGCTGGCCTCCTGGCTCTTCAGGAACATCCTTTCCTGGCTGGGAGCTGCCTCTGCCTGGGGCAGGGAGTCCAGCTGCTTCTCGACCTGGGCCAGGTTGTCTTGGATCAGCTTGTCTAGGGCAAATGACAGAAACAGAGTCACAGGGCAACGTAACTCGGGTGCTGGGATCTCAGTGAGAACAGGTGGGGCCCAGCTCCTGGACTGAGACATGTCTGCAGAGACCAAGATCGGGGTCCCATCATGCCGGACGCTGCCCAGACCCCAACCGAGATCAGGGCCCCATCATGCCAGGCACTGCCCAGACCCCGACCGAGATCAGGGCCCCGTAGTGCAAGGCGCTGCCCAGACCCCAACCAAGATCAGGGCCCCGTCATGCCGGGCACTGCCCAGACCCCAACCGAGATCAGGGCCCCGTCGTGCTAGGCGCATGCCCAAAGCCCGACCGAGAGATGGTCCCTGCCCGCAAGCGTCTGCACTCCAAATAAACAAGACAGACCCGAGGGAGGATTATTCTGCCCATTTTACAGCTGGGAACTGAGGCCCAGAGAGATTCATCACCTTCGCTCAGCAAACGTTCCCTGCTCTCAGCCATGCTGCAGATCTCGGCAGCCAGCTTCTCCATGCTCTAGGAGGAGGGGGAGGGAATTCACCACAGAGCATGCTGCCATGGGGAGGAAGAAGCGTCCACAGCCTTCCCTCATGCTAACCTCCCGTAGATGGGTCTTGTCCCAGACTGAAGCCTGGTCTCCGAGGGGAGATGCAGCTTGTACCAGCTAAAGAGCAGTGTCCCTGCCCCCGGAGGCCTTATATCAGGTCCCTCCCTGTAATGCTGCCACAGCACAACACCGTGGACATCCTTGGCTTCTGCTAGCATCGAGTGTCCTCAACCCCTGTCCTGGCTCCTATCCCCCCCCCCCCCCCCCCACAGATCCCACTCCCCTCCCAGAGCCGGGGCAAGAACTCAGGAGCCCTGGCTCCCAGCCCCCCTCAAAGCCAGGTAGAGAACCCAGGAATCCTGGCTCCCAGTCAGACTCCCTGCTCTAACCCAATCCCTCCCACACGTGCCCATGTCCCCTCCCAGTAGGGTTGTGTCCCACAATCTGTCCCTAGGGGAGCGTTCCCCACCCCACGCACCCAGGAACAGCACAGGGGACCCCAATGGCTCTTACGTGGCACTCCTGGAGGGTCTTGTGCTTCTCCATCAGCTCGTCCAGCTGCTGCTCAAATTCCAGCCTGGAAACAACACAGGGTGAGGGGCTGCCATGGGGCAGAGAGTTTTGCGCACAACAGAAACACTCACACGCACGCACAGCAGGGTTCATCCCCTCCAGCAGGGGCAGCAGGGACACACAAACACACACACACACCCACAGAGCAGGGCTGGTCCCTCCAGCAGGGGGCAGCAGAGACACACACACAGAGTGTGTTACATACAGTGCAGTACCTGTGTGTCCCTGCTGCCCCCTGCTGGAGGGGCTGAGCCCTGTGTGTGTGTCACTGCCGTCCCCAGTTGGAGGGGATGAGCCCTGCTCGGTGGGTGTGGGTGTGTCCCCCTGCTGCGGGGGATGAGCCCTGCTCTCTGTGAGTGTGTTTGTGTGTCTGTGTCCCTGCTGCACCCCACAGGAGGAGATGAGCTCTGCTCTGTGTGTGTGTGTGAGAGAGACAGAGAGAGACGCTAAGGGCTGAATTCACCCGCCCAGAGTGACTCTCCCCCCTCTGGTGAGCAGGCGCTGGCAAGCGAGGGCCTGTGGCAAAGCCGGGACTGACTAGGCCGAGCAGTGTCACCTCTGCACTATGGGCCTGGCAGCTGGTTAATTATTTGTCGTTAGTTTCCTGGACAGAACAGGAACGCGCCCAGGGTGTGGAACCCGAGGCAGAGGCTCAGGCTGCAGGAGGGAGCCCGTTCGGCGGGATGCCACCATTGCACACCTAGGCCAGACGGCTAGTGGACACACTGGGGTGTGCAACCCTGGCCTCTCTCGGAGCACTTTCCCATGGCTCGGCCCGGCTGGCACACAAGGGGCTGCCCCTAGGGTGGACGCCCCAGACTCTCTAAGGGGTTTACTTTGAGGATCGGGCTGGCGTAGAGCTCACGGAGAAGGGAGCATCTAGACTCGGGGCAGCGGGATATCCCAGAAGGCACTGCCCGCTCCTGCTCATGGCCCGTGGTGACTGAGGAGGAGTGTAGGTGCGCCTGTGGGGTGCTGTGGATGACACATGCCCATCTCCAGGAGTGTGTTGGAGCGGCAGCAACTCCCGCTTACAGAGCTGGGGGTTCAGTCCGCTGCAGGGGGGCGGGAGTCAGTACCTCTGTTTCCTCTGCTTCAGCTTCTCCTCCTGGATCTTCGCCGTCAGCTCCTCGATGCTCTGCTTCCGATCCTGGGACAGCGTCTGCTGCCTGCCCGGGGCGAACAAGGGCGGCGCAGCCTGGTGAACCCGGGCAGCCTGATTCCCAGACGAGGGCACAAGACTCTTCGCCCACGGGGGATCCCAAGACACTTTCCCCAGGTGAATCTACCCACCCCCCCGCAAGCGGGCAGAGAAGCAGAAGCACCTGGCCCAGTATCAGGCCATGACATGAATAGAACCCAGGCATCCTGGCTCCCAGCCTCCTCCTCCCCTGCTCTAACCACTAGACCCCACTCCCCTCCCAGAGTTGGGGACAGAACCAAGGAGTCCTTCTCTCTCTCTATGGTTCTCTGTGTCTCTCAGTCTCCATCTATATCCCCATACATACCCCTCCACCTGTCCATCCCTCCCTCCTGCCCCAACCCCTGCCCTATCCCCCTCTCACCTCTGGGCCTCAGCCTCCGTCTCCTGGCAGCGGAGCTGCAGGGTCCGCAGGACCTCTGGAAGGGACACGCATGTTAGTGAGGGGATACGGCTCCCAGAGAGACACCGTGCGCTGATCCCTGCTGGGGCCACCCCACTCCCCATGGGGTGCTCGCTCTGGCCTGCCCTTGGGCAGCTCCCACTGACCTGGGGAGGCACCCAGAGCCCCTGGCAGGGGGAGACTGGGAGATCCTGGTATGAGATCCTGGGGGGCGCTTTTCTTGACCTGCTGCTCACAAACCGGGTAGAATTAGTGGGGGAAGCAAAAGTGGATGGGAATCTGGGGGGCAGTGACCATGAGTTGGTTGAGTTCAGGATCCTGACACAGGGAAGAAAGGTAAGCAGCACGATACGGACCCTGGACTTCAGGAAAGCAGACTTCGACTCCCTCAGGGAACGGATGGCCAGGATCCCCTGGGGGACTAACTTGAAGGGGAAAGGAGTCCAGGAGAGCTGGCTGTATTTCAAGGAATCCCTGTTGAGGTTACAGGGACAAACCATCCCGATGAGTCGAAAGAATAGTAAATATGGCAGGCGACCAGCTTGGCTTAATGGTGAAATCCTAGCGGATCTTAAACATAAAAAAGAGGCTTACAAGAAGTGGAAGGTTGGACATATGACCAGGGAAGAGTATAAAAATATTGCTCGGGCATGTAGGAATGATATCAGGAGGGCCAAATCGCACCTGGAGCTGCAGCTAGCCAGAGATGTCAAGAGTAACAAAAAGAGTTTCTTCAGGTATGTTGGCAACAAGAAGAAAGCCAAGGAATGTGTGGGCCCCTTACTGAATGAGGGAGGCAAACTAGTGACAGAGGATGTGGAAAAAGCTAATGTACTCAATGCTTTTTTTGCCTCTGTTTTCACTAACAAGGTCAGCTCCCAGACTGCTACGCTGGGCATCACAAAATGGGGAAGAGATGGCCAGCCCTCTGTGGAGATAGAGGTGGTTAGGGACTTTTTAGAAAAGCTGGATGTGCACAAGTCCATGGGGCCGGACGAGTTGCACCCGAGAGTGCTGAAGGAACTGGCGGCTGTGATTGCAGAGCCATTGGCCATTATCTTTGAAAACTCGTGGCGAACCGGGGAAGTCCCGGATGACTGGAAAAAGGCTAATGTAGTGCCAATCTTTAAAAAAGGGAAGAAGGAGGATCCTGGGAACTACAGGCCAGTCAGCCTCACTTCAGTCCCTGGAAAAATCATGGAGCAGGTCCTCAAAGAATCAATCCTGAAGCACTTACATGAGAGGAAAGTGATCAGGAACAGCCAGCATGGATTCACCAAGGGAAGGTCATGCCTGACTAATCTAATTGCCTTCTATGATGAGATTACTGGTTCTGTGGATGAAGGGAAAGCAGTGGATGTATTGTTTCTTGACTTTAGCAAAGCTTTTGACACGGTCTCCCACAGTATTCTTGTCAGCAAGTTAAGGAAGTATGGGCTGGATGAATGCACTACAAGGTGGGTAGAAAGCTGGCTAGATTGTCGGGCTCAACGGGTAGTGATCAATGGCTCCATGTCTAGTTGGCAGCCGGTATCAAGTGGTGTGCCCCAAGGGTCGGTCCTGGGGCCGGTTTTGTTCAATATCTTCATAAATGATCTGGAGGATGGTGTGGATTGCACTCTCAGCAAATTTGCGGATGATACTAAACTGGGAGGAGTGGTAGATACGCTGGAGGGGAGGGATAGGATACAGAAGGACCTAGACAAATTGGAGGATTGGGCCAAAAGAAATCTGATGAGGTTCAATAAGGATAAGTGCAGGGTCCTGCACTTAGGACGGAAGAACCCAATGCACAGCTACAGACTAGGGACCGAATGTCTAGGCAGCAGTTCTGCGGAAAAGGACCTAGGGGTGACAGTGGACGAGAAGCTGGATATGAGTCAGCAGTGTGCCCTTGTTGCCAAGAAGGCCAATGGCATTTTGGGATGTATAAGTAGGGGCATAGCGAGCAGATCGAGGGACGTGATCGTTCCCCTCTATTCGACATTGGTGAGGCCTCATCTGGAGTACTGTGTCCAGTTTTGGGCCCCACACTTCAAGAAGGATGTGGATAAATTGGAGAGAGTCCAGCGAAGGGCAACAAAAATGATTAGGGGTCTGGAACACATGACTTATGAGGAGAGGCTGAGGGAGCTGGGATTGTTTAGCCTGCAGAAGAGAAGAATGAGGGGGGATTTGATAGCTGTTTTCAACTACCTGAAAGGGGGTTCCAAAGAGGATGGCTCTAGACTGTTCTCAATGGTAGGAGATGACAGAACGAGGAGTAATGGTCTCAAGTTACAGTGGGGGAGGTTTAGATTGGATATTAGGAAAAACTTTTTCACTAAGAGGGTAGTGAAACACTGGAATGCGTTACCTAGGGAGGTGGTAGAATCTCCTTCCTTAGAGGTTTTTAAGGTCAGGCTTGACAAAGCCCTGGCTGGGATGATTTAACTGGGAATTGGTCCTGCTTTGAGCAGGGGGTTGGACTAGATGACCTTCTGGGGTCCCTTCCAACCCTTATATTCTATGATTCTATGATTCTATGAGAGGATGGGGAATGGGGGGGGCACAGAGGCCCTGGGATGGGGGGAGATCGGGGGACCCTAGTGTGATGGGAGGGGGAATGGGGGGCACACAGAGGCCCTGGGATGCGGGGGGAATCGGGGTACCTGGTGTGAGGGAGGGGTCAGAGGGGGCACACAACGCCCCTGGGGGCACACAGCAACCCTGGCAGGGGAGAGAATGAGCAGAGAGGCAGGAAGTCTCTGAAATAGAGGGGACTGGCATGGGGGCCCACAGGGAGTTTGGGGGGCAGACTGTGGTTAAGGCTGGATCCCGGGCTGTATGCAGGTTAACGCCTGTGTGACCCGCTGGTAATGGTAATGCCTGTCTCGTCTCGAGTCCTTCTCATCAGTGGATCTCAAAGTGCAGGACCAAAGTGGTCAGTGCCTTTATCCCGGCTGTCCAGCCGTCCTCGTGTCACTCAGCCGAGTTGCTAAAGGCCTGCTCTCACCTTGCTTCTGGCTGCAGATTTTCTCCAGGTTTGACTTCTCCTCGTTCACTGCAAAAGAGTGTGGGGGGGAGAAACAACCAGGCTGGGGGCCCATATCCTCTGGGTTCGGGGTTGTGTCTCACTGGCGCTAGGGGGTAGGTCCAGCCCCCCACAGCACGCAGCTGGGTAGCGAAGGGGCGTTCTGCCAGAGAGCTCAGAAGACGCCGTGGCCCAAATCCTTAAAGGTATTAGGTGCCACGGGGAGTTAGGCACCATTGAGACTCTGGGTCAAAGGACTTGAGGTGCAATGTGAGCCGCAGGGAGCAGTGCTGGGCGGGGGGGTGACTTACGCTCCTCCAGCTCTGCCTGCAGTTGCTCGCTGCACGCCTGCCCATCATGCAGCTCCTGGCTCAGAGCCTGCTTAGCTAAGGAGAGACCAAACGGGTTAGGGGTGAAGGTGTGGGGAGAGAGAGAGAGGGATGTCTAAGGGGCTGGAGCAGTGGTGTGTGTAATGAGGTGGGATGGATGGATAGATAGATAGATGGAGAGGTGTGTATGGGGATGGATGGGGTGGTGTGGGGTTGGAGGGAGAGAGGGAGAGGTCAATATGGGGTTGGATAATGGGGGGGTGTACAGGGATGGATGGAGGGAATGGTCGGCATGGGGATGGATAGTGGGGTGTGTGTATGGAGATGGATGGAGAGTGGGAGGGAGGGGTCAATACAGGGATGGATAGTGGGGGGTGTACAGGGATGGATGGAGGGAATGGTCGGCATGGGGATGGATAGTGGGGTGTGTGTATGGAGATGGATGGAGGGTGGGAGGGAGGGAGGGGTCAATACAGGGATGGATAGTGCGGGTGTATAGGGATGGATGGGGTGGGGTTGGAGGGAAAGAGGGAAGGGTCAGTATGGGGTTGGATAGTGGAGGGGGATGGATGCGGGGCTGTGGGGTTGGAGGGAGGGAGGGGTCAATATGGGGATGGATAGTGGGGTGTATGTATGGGGATGGATGGAGGGAAGGGTCAGTACGGGGATGGATAGTGGGGGGTGTATGGGGATGGATGGGATGGAGTGGGGTTGGAGGGAGGGAGGGAAGGATCAGTATGGGGTTGGATAGTGGGGGGGATGGATGCAGGGCTGTGGGGTTGGAGGGAGGGGTCAATATGGGGATGGATAGTGGGGTGTGTGTATGGGGATGGAGGGTGGGAGGGAGGGAGGGGTCAGTACAGGGATGGATAGTGGGGGGTGTATGGGGATGGATGGGGTGAAATGGGGTTGGAGGGAGGTAGGGAAGAGTCAATATGGGTTGGATAGTGAGGGATGGGGTGGGGATGGATGCTGGGCTGTGGGGTTGGAGGGAGGGGTCAGTACAGGGATGGATAGTGGGGTGTGTGTATGGGGGGGGTCAGTGCGGGGATGGATAGTGGGGTGTATCTACAGGGATGGAGGGAGGGGTCAGTATGGGCCTAGAGAGCTATAGGAAGATAGGTGTACATGGGGATGGATGGATTATATAGATCCCTGCATTACCAAGGGCCTGAGTCTGATTTCAGCACCACTGGGTGAAATCCACAGTCCCTGCTCTGAATCCATGGGCTCGTTTACACACCGCTTTCAAAGCCACGGAAGCTAAACCAGAGAACGGCCTCAGCTCCTGGGTCGGCGCGTCCCCCGGCGGGGGCAGCAGCATGGCTCTGGGGGTGAAGTGTGTGTCCCCATGTAAACAGGCTCTCAGTGAGAGCAGGATCTAGCTCCTGTGGGCAGGTAGAGAGGGGCTGACATTGGGGGGCCTAGTAGCAGGCTGGCACGGCAGTAAGGGGTGCTGGGTGAGCGGGCTGCAGCCCAGTGTGCTCCGTAATAGGAGTGGACAACCCCCTGCCTTCCCTGCCCCTCACCTCGCTGCAGTCTGCTGATCCTTCCTACCAGGTCGTCCATTCGGGGCTCCAGGGTCCCTGCTGCAGAGGGAAGGGGAAGGAGAAGGATACGCCCGGTTGTGTTCCTAACACGCATCCTTCACCCTATGCTTTTTTGAGTGTGCCTGGGCGGGAGGGGTAATTTCTCCCTTCACTTAACTGGGGGAGGGTAAACTGAGGCACGGATAAGTGACATAGAGAGTCACTGGTAGAGCCTGGAAAAGGACACAAGAGACCTCTTTCACAGACTACAGTTCTGACAGCTAGACCCCAACTCTCCCCCCGAGCCAGGGAAAGAACCCAGGAGTCCTGGCTCCCAGCCCCACCACTCTAACCCCTAGATCCCACTCCCCGCAAGCCAAGGATAAAGTCCTGGCTCCCAGCCCCACAAGCTCTAACCCCTACATCCCACTTCCCTCCCAGAGCTGGAGAGAGAACCCAGGAGTCCTGGCTCCCAGCACTAACCACCAGACCCAGCTCCCAAATACCATCCTGCAGTTGTTTCACCAGCAATAGCAGCTCCTCTGCCTTGGGTGCAAAGTCGCTGGGAACTGGGAAGAGTTAAAAAAAAACAAAGGAATTGCTTTGTTGTACCAAAGATTCAGCTCAAGCTTGTAACTGGGCTTTCTAGGGGGATTTATCCACCCCACGGCGTGCAGGAGAAGGGCGCTGTGGGGTTGCCATGGATTTATCCAGCCCATGGCATGAGGGAGAAGGGCACTGTGCGATTGCCATGGCGAGAGGGAGAAGGCATTGTGGGATTGCCACCCCATGGTGTGAGGGAGCAGGGCACTGTGGGATCGCTGCCTCATGGCATGAGCAAGCAGGGCACTGAGATCGCCCCCGCCCCTTGGCGTGAGCGAGCAGGGTACTGTAGGATCGCCCCCCCCACCTTGGCGTGAGCAAGCAGGGCACTGTGGGATTGGCCCTCCCACCTTGGCGTAAGAGAGAAGGGCACTGTGGGATCACTCCGCTGGTAATATGAGGGAGCGGGGAGTTGTGGGATCGTCCCCCACTTGGCATGAGCGAGCAGGACATTGTGGGATCACTCCGCTGGTAGCATGAGGGAGCGGGGAGTTGTGGGATCGTCCCCCACTTGGCATGAGCGAGCAGGACATTGTGGGATCACTCCGCTGGTAGCATGAGGGAGTGGGGAGTTGTGGGATCTCCCCCCGCCATGGCGTGAGCAAGCAGGGCACTGTGGGATTGCTCCCTCCTTGGCATGAGCGAGCAGCAGGGCCCTGTGGGATCGCCCACCCCTTGACGTGAGCGAGCAGCAGGGCACTGTGGGATCGCCCCCTTCTTGGCGTGAGCGAGCAGCAGGGCACTGTGGGATCGCCTCCCCCTTGGCGTGAGCGAGCAGCAGGGCACTGTGGGATCGCCTCCCCCCTTGGCGTGAGCGAGCAGCAGGGCACTGTGGGATCGCCTCCCTCTTGGCGTGAGCGAGCAGCAGGGCACTGTGGGATCGCCCCCCCTTGGCTGAGCGGCACAGGATGGGGGGGGCCCCCCCCCTTGGCGTGAGCGAGCAGCAGGGCACTGTGGGATCGCCTCCCTCTTGGCGTGAGCGAGCAGCAGGGCACTGTGGGATCGCCTCCCTCTTGGCGTGAGCGAGCAGCAGGGCACTGTGGGATCGCCCCCCTCTTGGCGTGAGCGAGCAGCAGGGCACTGTGGGATCGCCTCCCCCCTTGGCGTGAGCGAGCAGCAGGGCACTGTGGGATCGCCTCCCCCCTTGGCGTGAGCGAGCAGCAGGGCACTGTGGGATCGCCTCCCCCTTGGCGTGAGCGAGCAGCAGGGCACTGTGGGATCGGCCTCCCCCTTGGCGTGAGCGAGCAGCAGGGCACTGTGGGATCGCCCCCCTTGGCGTGAGGGGGCAGCAGGGCACTGTGGGATCGCCCCCCCCCTTGGCGTGAGCGAGCAGGAGGGCACTGTGGGATCGCCTCCCCCCTTGGCGTGAGCGAACAGCAGGGCACTGTGGGATCGCCTCCCCCCTTGGCGTGAGCGAGCAGCAGGGCACTGTGGGATCGGCCTCCCCCCTTGGCGTGAGCGAGCAGCAGGGCACTGTGGGATCGCCCCCCACTTGGCGTGAGCGAGCAGCAGGGCACTGTGGGATCGCCCCCCACTTGGCGTGAGCGAGCAGCAGGGCACTGTGGGATCGCCTCCCCCCTTGGCGTGAGCGAACAGCAGGGCACTGTGGGATCGCCTCCCCCCTTGGCGTGAGCGAGCAGCAGGGCACTGTGGGATCGGCCTCCCCCCTTGGCGTGAGCGAGCAGCAGGGCACTGTGGGATCGGCCTCCCCCCTTGGCGTGAGCGAGCAGCAGGGCACTGTGGGATCACTCTGCTGGTGGCGTGAGGGAGCGGGGAGTTGTGGGATCGCCCCCCCCTTGGGGTGAGCGAGAGCATTGTGGGATCACCCTTCTGGAAGGGCATCGTGGGATTGGCCGTGATTTGTCCACCCCATGGGGGCCATTCCCCCCTTGCCCCATCTTCCTCTCACCCTGTTTACTCCCCTCCATGGCCCTATGTACCCAGAGAGGTGTGGGGAGGGGGGGAGGGGGGGCCTTAACACAGGCACCTATTCACACACCCCCCCAGGAGGGAGGGGGAGCCTTGAAACTTCCCAACCCCCCCCCGCGCTTTCTTTTCCCGCCCGTTTTCCAACGGTTGCTGCGGCTCCGCCCCTCCCCTCAGCCAGGCTCGTGCGCTGTGTTTACCACGTGCCAGGGCCCCGCCCCCTCCCCTTGGAGAAAGGGGGAGGAGCTAACCCCTCACTGCAGGGTCCGGGTGGGGGGCAGGTCTAGGCACCAGGACTCCTGGGTTCTCTCCCCGGCTCTGGGAGGGGGAGTGGGGTCTGGTGGGTTAGAGCAGGGGGGCTGGGAGCCAGGACTCCTGGGTTCTCTCCCCGGCTCTGGGAGGGGAGTGGGGTCTGGTGGGTTAGAGCAGGGGGGCTGGGAGCCAGGACTCCTGGGTTCTCTCCCCAGCTCTGGGAGGGGAGTGGGGTCTGGTGGGTTAGAGCAGGGGGGCTGGGAGCCAGGACTCCTGGGTTCTCTCCCCGGCTCTGGGAGGGGAGTGGGGTCTGGTGGGTTAGAGCAGGGGGGCTGGGAGCCAGGACTCCTGGGTTCTCTCCACAGCTCTGGGAGGGGAGTGGGGTCCAGGGGCTTAGATTGGGGAGCTGGGTACAGCAACCCCAGAGCAGGGGATCCAGGGCTGCTCTTCCCTTGACCCAGCACCACAGACTAAGCTCATCCTGTCCCTCATTGGTTATCATTTGGGCAGGACTGGGTTTCATCCATTCTCCCCTCTCATCTTTGGGCAGGGGTGGGGGGCATCTTCACAGGTCCCTGGGCTCCACCATTGAGGCAGGGCACCAGGCAGATGTTTCTGTGTTTAGCACCCAGGGGAGAGGGGTCCCGCCCTGGGGATGGCAGAGGGGTGGCATTTGGCTTGGGTAGATGGCAGGGGGTGGGTAGGTCAAACAATTGGCAGGGGATGAGCAAGGGCTGGTAGCATCTGGACGCTCCTGTACCTTTGTGGCCAGACAAGGGGAGGAGGCGGAGCTACAGGCAGTCGGACATCATTTATTTCAACCCCCCAACCTGGGCAGGTAGACTCCAGGTGCAGCGAGCCTTGGGACAAGTGCTGGACCAGACCTCTCTGAGCAGAGTTGCCCCCCCCCCCCTCCGGTGGCCCTGCTCCCGCTGCAGAGCCCACACACATAGCTTGCGGCAGGGTGCAAGCACTGGCTGCGTCTTAAAATAACACCCCTGCAAGGAGGCTCGCCTCGGTATTTTGGACTCTGACTGTCCCCATGTTTCTGTTTGCAGTGATGTAGCAGCAGGGTTAACTGCTAGGGCTGGGAGCGAAGCGAGTGCAGCTGGTAGCTTTATTTCTGTACACCAGCTCTCTGCACCACATCACCACGCGCAGACTTGAAGTATCGTCAATTCACAGCCTGCGGTCCAGGCAGCCAAACCCCCAAAAAATCAGCTGTGAATATCACTCAGTAATGACCCTTCTACCATGCCTCGCTGCTCCCCTTCCCCCTTGAAGAGCAGCTGAGCTTGCTGCCTTTCACACACACTCCTTATGGGATACGGAGTGACCATGTGCTAGGAACTGCTTGGCAGGACCTCCGCTGCCATAAAAATCACATCCCTCCATTGCCAGCAGCCAGGCTGTACTCACTTTAATACTTAGATTTGAGATTAAAAAAACCCACCAGGCAGAGTCAGATGTGCTGAGTACCTGATGGTTGAGTGGAACACAGCAGGAAGAGAAGGTGGATTTGGGATCCCTTCCTTGCTTGCCCCTGCCAAAAAGGAGAATGCTGCAGGGATGGAAAATGCCAACCTCAGAGGGTTAGCGTGACAACACTTGGGGCAAGCTCAGCTGTGACCTGACATCTCCAGCCATAAGAGAGTTAAAATCTAGCCTGGACCTCCCGTCTGCATCCAGCTGACACAAGCTCACTGGGGCCAAGGCAACACAGCTAGTATTTAGAAAGCCCCAATTCCTCCTTCCCTTGGCAAGATCCTCTGTGCTGGCCAGGGAGCAAGCCAGATGTACCCTCATCAAAACAACTTTTTAATAAGACTTTGATTCTCAGTTGAACACGCCAGCCAGGAAGAGACCTCATTTGACAGCCACCCAAGATGGTTTTAGGCACAGTGCATCATGCGTGTGAAAACTCTTTCTGCTTCCCCAACCCCGCCAGGTCTCCCTGGAGCAGCTAAATGCAAGTTAAAAGGAGACACAGGCAGGGGCTGGCTTTCCAGAGGCATGGGATGATCTTCCTGTGAAAAACAGACCCAGCGGATTCTGGATCAATCCCACTGCAGATCGATAGGTCTAAGGCCATGGGGGAGCAAACAGCCCTTCCTTCTAGCAACCAGGATGGACAAGGAGACTGAAAAGTGACGGGGCAGCCCAGTTACCATAGTGCAGGGCACAGATGTCACCGGCAAAGGAGGGAGGCAGTTCATTGCTTTCAAAGAGCTTTCCAAAGGGAACATTAAATTAAGACGGGCAGCAGAGAAGAGTGCATTGGTGCAGGCGTTAACGAACACAACCAGCACAGGGAGGGAGAATACAACACAGCAGGCAACTCCAACACCCAACTGCAATTTATAGCATCGAGAGGAGCATGTGCATGGGGCAGGGGGATGAGGGAGTAATCTCCTTCCCGCCCCACATACAGCTGTTTCCAGACACAGCACCCAGTTAAATATATTGGCAAATATGAGCCGCCAATCTCCGGGTGCCTGTGAGAAATCTAAGTTCATTCCAGGCTCAGGTTTTTAAAGAGCAGGGGATGTTGAAAAATGGTTTCAAAGCAGGTTGGGCTCCGATGCCAAGGGGTGCAATTAGCCACAATTCATCCAAAGGAAAGAGAAACACCATCACAGCCCATTTCACAGGGGCCTGTGGCCGATCCACACTGGGAGGCGGAGAGCAGAGGCTCCAGGGGAAGGAACCAAAACCAGCTTCCGTCAAGGAGATGGAACAAGCCGCACCCAACCCCAGCTCCACTGTGCAGGTGGAGTCCTTCGGTACAGGCCTATGCGAGCCAGAGTGTAAGCTCGCCATGCCCCTACGTGCCCACATCAGCCTGGAGCACGAGGCTCAAAGTGAAGCAATAACCCCCACTCAGGCTTCCCCAACAGAGAGTTGGAGACACAAGTAGGCCAATAAATAAGTCAGGCAGATAACCACACATCAACACCACCCCGGAAGGAGCCGGCCAAGCCTGAGCCAACTCCTAGAGAGTATGGCTTCTCGGTGTAGGGGTGGGGAGGTCCCTGACCTCCCCTTCTAAGAGGAGAAGGGATTTCCCCCCAAGTTATCCAATCACCAGTGAAATACAGGGGCCTCGAGTGAAGCAGGCCCAGGCTTAGAGACCAGCAAAAAATCCATTCTCAGCACCATCGGGCCGGCTGCCCTTGGCACCCTTCCCAGGGTTAGGCGTGGTAGAGTATTTTGGGGGGTAGCGAATGAAGAGCCGGTCCTCCTCCTTCTTGATCCAGCGCAATAGCTTGGTGAGGACATTGATGGCGCCGGCCTTGGTTACCAGGGGGCTGAAGCAGGTGTACAGCTCGAACTTACTGGTGACCTGAGAAGAAGAACATGAAAAAAGGAAAGGTCAACCCATCCTCTCCCCTATACCCGGCATGGTCTTGTCTCTTGTCCTCCCTCTCCAAACCCACTCCCCAGCTTCTTCTCATCACAAGCCCTGAGGGAGGCGGCACAAGCTTTAAACCCATATGCAGCTGTCAGCATGACAGCCAGAAGCAGTTCCAATGGGACACATGTTCACTCTGAAACCTACTGATGGTGGTTAAAACCAAAGCACATCACTGCCTATCACATGAGTGGACACATCACACTAAGGTGCGTATCCCAGTCACATCCCTCAATTGCCTGGGAATTCTGCAACATGTGGGGCCTTGACGCTGGAATTCTGGGAACAAGCAGCCTGAACCATCTCCCCTGCAATCCAGGTGGGACTGGTCAGGCCTTGGTGATCACTTCCCACGCCAGGCATCACTGTGCTTCCTGCTAGGGGAGCAGGAATGAGCCCAGTGCAAGATAGAAAGAACAGAGCAGGAAGTTCCACCCTCCTCACACTAGAATATTACTGAGACAGGAAGTGGTCTCTCCCAAGCCTGCAGCCAATGCCAGGTGAAGGCCCAGGCAATCTAGGCTCATGCCTAAGGGCAATTGCTAGAGTCATGCGATCACAGCAGCAGCTCAGCTTTCCATTACGAATGGAGTCAGCATCTCGCCTTCCTAGTTGGGAAGAAAACCTTGAAATCATAAGCCAGGTGTCAAAAAGGCAGCGACACTCCCTGAGTCTGCGGAGGGCCTGAGCTGGGGGAAACTGACCCATGTGTGAGTGATGCTGCCTGGGTTTGCAGAGAGCCGGAGCCAACTGCGGTGAGTGAGTAATACGGGGTCCTCCAGCCTCTCCTGGGGAGGAAGAAGGGCCCTGCTGTTCCTCTGGGGAGATGAGGCCCATGACCCCCCTAGATGCCTCATTAAAAGTGCCCTGCCTTACCCAGGCGAGTAGCGTCTCCTTCTCGGCCACATGGTAGATGAGGCGCAGGGGGCGAGAGGTGCTGTGGATGCGGCTGTGCAGGTAATGGTAGAGGTCAAAGAGCCGGTGTTGCTCCTCCTCGCTGCAATACGGCCCCTCCAGCTCTGGGCTGCGGAGGGCGAGAGATGCCAGGGGGGCAGGATTAGACACAGAGACCAGGCACTGCCCCCTCCTTGCCGCTACTGCTACCAGTGTCTCAACTCGGCACCCCGCAAAACCAGGAGGGCAGGGAGAACACTGAACTGGAAGGAAACCTAGAAACAGCTGGAGCATGAGCCCATCTAGCACGGCATCTTGGCTAGCTGAGGAACCCCAGAGGAAACTGCTTCCCAGCCCCCAAAGATTAGTGCTCGCTCACTGCCGAAATCCAGCTCCCCTCCGGGGTGAGGCCTGCCCTGCCAAAACCCTGCCTTTAGTTTGAGA